GAGGCACTGGGCTTCACCCGAGCTTAGTCGCGAGTGGGAACGACAGACAAAGAGGTGCCCTCGCACCGCCGTCCCGGGCTGCGACCACCTTCTGCTGAGGCTGCCAGAAGTCGGCCAGGCGCCCCGCCGGTGTCCGTCCGGGGCCGTACCGAGTGTCCTCGGGCCCGTTTAGCCGCAGGCAGACGCGGTGCACGCAGCGTAGGCGATGCGAATTGCCTTAGGAATTCGGACTGAGCCTTCGGACGGGCTGAGAAGCGCAAACTGTGGATTCCTCCAGCTTGCTGCCATGCTCGCCCGTGTCCCTGTTCAGCTGCTCTGTATCCCGCTGGCAGGTCTGCTGTAGCCCCTCGGGATGCTGCTCCCAGCCACGCCTAGAGGTCCCTGGGCCGCATGACTGGGAGCATCGGGGCCCAGCTGCATACCCCTGCCACTGCAGTTCTGTTAGCGTAGACATTCTGCTGTCCCCTGCGGGGAGTGGAAACCTAGCAGCAAGGCCTGCATCAAATCTGTCAGAGCTCACCTGCCAGCCCATGCCTACCCTGACCAAGTCAAGATTATTAAAATGTGTAAAGGTTTCCTTTGTTTCTGCTCAGAACTTGATGAAACCACATGGGAAAAGACTGGAGTGAAGTGCTGGTAATGGAGAGTGTTCAGAACAGGTTTAAAACAGGTTGGGAAGAGTTGCTGCATTAGAGTAAGGCTAGCTGTTGGAAATTGATGGTATTTCCAGAAGCTGCATTCACTCCCACAGAGGGAGGAGGGGAGGGGTTATAGGTGGATAAGCAAATTGAACATTTTGTTTTGTTTGATGCCAGCACTGAAGCTTCCTGATAGACCTTGCTAGTTGTAAACTGCAGCTGAAATTAACATCCTTGAGACAGGCTTGATGACAAGTCATACCCTATGGGTTAGGGCTCCTGATTGATCCCAGTGCTTTTCAGAACTATTGACCATCACTTCAAAAGCTCTACTCCTGGAGAATTTAGAATAAACTGTGTCTGACCTTCCTATTCTGGAAGATACTAAAACCAGAGAAAGATCTGTCTTCCAGAATTTGCAGCTGAACAACTCTAATGCTGCTGCTTTTAGCATCAGACTAAAATTATCACTTAAAGCTGTAAACAGAATTTCTCCATATGCATGTTGCAGTTCTTGACCCTTTGAGCAGTGTCATCGTCCATAGTACTGATTCCTGGAAACTCCATTTGTTGGATATAGAGGTTATGAGATTTGGGCAGGTGTGAATAGGTCATTGATAGCTCTCACCCTTCTGCACAGTAAGCCTTAAGTATTCAAAAAGAAAAGCAAATGACTGGTGTACTGTGTGCTTAGCGAGGGCGTAGCCTTCCCCTCTGCAGTCAGTAGAGACCATCCTCATGCTGTCTAGCAGCTAGGCGAGATTTCTATTTTAGTATTTTTCCTGTACTTCTTGTAACAAGAAGCCATCTTGTTTTCATTAGTGAAATACGGTAACTTTCCTAAATCCTGTTTGTTATTTTTTTGCATTATTTCTGATGTACTGTTCAGAAGACAGTTCGGGATTTTCTCCATTATGGGTAATGCTTACTGTGCTTGAGAGCTGTCTCATCCTACTGCCACCATAAATTACTGCATGGAAAAGGAAGCACAGCAATGACATAAATAAGAACAGCAGTGAGCTAGTGTGTTCACCCTCCCAGAAGGTAGAGCAAGCCACTTCTCAAGGATAATTGTGCCTTCACAGATTGCACACTGCAGGGTACTGTGCTAGAAGCCCAGCATTTGTAAAGGAGAAGTTGCTGGCTGCTGATCATTTTGCTCTGTAGCTGAAAGACTGTTGTAGGTGGGTGAAATAGCATTGTAGAGAAGCAAAGCAACTTGAATCAGAATGGGCCTGACTATGGAAACGCTTTCCTCCTTCTTTCTGTTCAGTGCAGGTATAATGCCTTTGCATTCTGTGGCTTTGTCTCTGCTGCATTGGATATGAATGAACTTAAATGACTGTAAATTAACAAAGGGGGGGGGGGGAAGTAAAAATCCTTAGCCTTGCATGTGTTGAGGTTTGCAGTCTATTAGAGTTTGCGGCCAGCTGCCTTTTTCTGGTGAGGAGAGACTACAGATATGCAGCAGGGAACTCTGCGTAAAATGGTAGTGCAAACAGCACTCAAAGAGAATAATGCAGCTGGGGAGACTGTAATGGATTATGCTAAAAACGCTCCTGAAATTATGCCATGCAGTTTTCTTTGAGAGAGAAGTATTAGCGGGGCTGCTCTGAATGTGGCACAGCGTGTTCTAGTGACTGCTGCAGTGGTGGTGATGTGAAACCCCGTGTACAGCTCGGCATCACTGAAGTCTTTGGCAAAGCTTTGGATGACTGAAATGATGATGGAGCAAAGCTTAAGTGCAAAACACTTTTGCCATTAAGCTTTTCCATTTAGTCTTTTACTTAACTCGTTTGTGGAGATGGACTTGGACGACTTTTGTTGAAGAGAATGCGATGCTGCTGTCCAGACTGTCAGAGTAAACTACTGTATCTTGCTGGTACATGAATTTAAATGATTAGAGTTACCGTTTTGTGATACCTATTAGTGGTGCCATAGATGCAGGTTGCTGTTTGAAGTTTGATGTGGGTCCCAGCAAGTATTACAGGTGTTCTGAAGCACACAGAAGACGCGTATCAGCATTTGAAAATACTGTTTTACATGTTGGTAGCAAACATACCGAAGATGTATTTTTTTGATAGGTGTATGACAGTACTTTAACAGAATGTAGTCATACTTGTGCTGTCCTTAATCTCTTGAGAAATTTAAGGCTGTAGGGTGAATTGTAGAGAGAAACAACAGTGGCTGCTGGGGAGAAGAATGCAGCAAGTGTCAAAAGGCTCGTTGGTGGGAGACTGGTGACAAAATTACCATTGTGTTGAAGCAGTATAACATCAGGCCCTCAGATTCAGGGGAAAGGTATAGGAAACTGGCCAGCTGGAATCAAGTGTGCAAAACATGGCTCAAGCCTTGGGCAAACCCACCACAATAAGAACAGAAATGTAACTGGGCTACCTTATCTCTAGCACAAAGAACTGAAAATCCATGATTTTCCGTGTACCTTGTATCCTTCCCTTTTCTGAAATGACTTAACATCTGCCATTCACACTGAAGAAGGGAATTGCTGCCAAATGCCAGAGGAGATTTGGAATTTATGCCATTGCTTAACTTCAGTATTCTGAACTTGAAAAACCAGTAAATGGTATTAAAACAGGAAATTTGGTTATCAGTTGAAATGTAAGATTTTTGGGTCTTTTATTGGAGCAAAAGCAACATCAGCAATGTAATCGGATGAATTATTTAGGTAGCTGGCAGTATTTTGTTTAAATGAATTTACTAATTGCACCGTCAGGGGAGTATGTTTATCTCTGTTTCGAAAACAATGTAGGCATTAACGGGTAAACGTGAGTTCTAATACTTTGACATAGATAGAAGTAGTGAAAGAGTTACAGCAAAAAAAATGATACTAATGAGCTCAACTGTATGTTTTAAATAGCTCCTTATAGCCACAATGGCAACGTCCTCTGAAGAAGTGTTACTGATTGTAAAGAAGGTACGTCAGAAGAAGCAGGATGGAGCTCTCTACCTGATGGCTGAGAGGATAGCATGGGCACCTGAAGGCAAGGACCGATTCACAGTCAGCCATATGTATGCAGACATAAAATGTAAGTGAACCTTTTTCCTATTCCAGCTTCATTAAGCGGTATTTTGATAAACATTTAAATACAACCCTAAGCTTATTTGATATAAAACACTAGTAGGTAATTTAGGAAGGCTGCATGGGTCTGGAGCTTTGACTGGGTTACTCCGTGTAGCAGCAGAGATGAGGACCATGGTGAAGTATCACCAGTTTATTAAGGATGCTACCTCAGAACTTCTATAGTCTTAGATTTTAAGTTAAACTACATTTACTATTAACTTTTGATAAACTTCTGTAATAAATTGAATAGAAAAATAATCTTTGTCTTATGCTTGTGGAAGGATGGGTAGGAGGAAGGTTGAGGAAGAGTACGGAATTTTCAGTCTAACACAGACTATTTGGCATGTCATCTGTTAGACTATGCAGCTGTTTCAGTTTTCATATAGAATGGACCTCACTGTTTTATTTTCATCCAACAGACCATAGCTCCAGGAGTACTAGCTTTCTGTAGTCTGGCCTAGCTGGTAGCATTCTGGATAAGGCTGTGCTGTTGCAATAGCAGGGTACTTGCAAGCCAAAACAGAACAGTAGAAGTCTGTAGCATGCTGCCTTTCTGGCTCCAATTAGTGCTCATGTTCCATGTGCTGTAATGCCAAATAAGGAATATAAAGAAAGCTGTATGTGTCATTTAGTAAAGTTTTAGTGATTATTGCTGCTTAAAGTCACATACAAGTACTGCAGCATGATTAAAAGTGTGTGTGATGAATCAGAACTAATATGCTGTTTTCTTAAATATGCATGTGATAAGGAGTTTAAAAGCTCTGTTCATTTATAGTAAACTTTGTGAAGGTCTTCTTTAGCTACTTACGTTTATGCAACTTATATTTTAAGTATTTACGTGTATGGGCATTGTCTTTTTAACTTAGATGAAAGATGCTCCTTTTTGTCATCTAAAATTAAAAAAAAGGGAGGAGTGTATTTGTAAATTTGTAATAGTGATATTATGTAATGATTTAGTGGTGACATCTGGTTCCTGTTTCCCCACTTGCACTGGAGAAAGGGATGAGATTCAAAGTTAGGTTAGTGCCATTTGCAGTGGACAGCATAAACATAGTTGTTCTTGCTTCTGCTCCCTCTGGTTATGAGAAAGGAAGCAGGAGGTAGGCTTTTCTTAGGAGTCATGAGGGTGTAATAGCACCTTGGAGGCATTGGTGATCGGCTTTGGGAGTACTAATGGCTAAATGTGCTTACCACACCACTTGAAACCAGCACACCTTTGCTGTGAACAGACATGCTGTTACCCCACCCTGCATCTGCTTTCTTACCACCTTTCTTTTGTGTGAACTGGTCCAGCTGGAAAAACAAAACGGGGTTACTTCTCAGTGGATCAGTTCCCCGGTTCAGCTTGCTGTACAGACACTAACACTAGTACAAGAAAGGCAGCAGGAAAAAGTGGAAAGGGGAAATGAGGTTGTCACCTTTCAGCAACAGCCTGGATTGGTACCAGGTTGAAGTGTCCAGGTGAAGATAGTCTAATTTGCAGCAGTTTTCTAATGGAGGATGTGGAAATGCCAAGATGAATCAAGGCTCCTGAGCAGTAGCTGAAGGATACTGAGCAATAGGCTGCTGTTGTCTGTGTCTTGTGTTTTACAGAGAACAAGGTGCAGGGTTCAAACTAATTTAAGGGGAAGACTGTTCCACTTTTATGACTGGAATTCACACACAGGGTAATGGTGTTTAATTGGATAATGAGGATAACTGCTTATAAGCAAATACTCTAGGGAAGAGAGTTTCTTGTATAAGCTTACTCTCTGTTGCTAATTAATATTTTCTGTGTAATCTAGGCCAGAAAATTAGTCCAGAAGGTAAAGCTAAAATTCAGCTTCAGCTGGTATTGCATGCAGGGGACACAACCAACTTTCACTTCTCCAATGAAAGCACAGCAGTGAAGGAGCGAGATGCGGTAAAGGATCTTCTTCAGCAACTGTTGCCCAAGTTCAAAAAGAAAGCTAATAAAGAACTTGAGGAGAAGAACAGGTAAAGGGAAAGAAGCCTTAAAGTTGTTGGGTTTGGGGAGGGGGGAGATGGGAGTGATAACTACCTAACTATAGTATATTTCTGCTAATGGTTGTTCTTATTGCAACATTGTTAGTGATACTAGGGAAAAAATGCTGTATTAAAAGTCCATTTTCAACTTGGAGGCAGTTCCTTGAGACTTACATAACTGTAACATGTTGAGACTATACTTGTGTTCTCAGACAACACATTCTTGAGGTGTAAAGGCAGCCAGCACGACTGCCACCCAGTCTTTGTTGCCCCTGGCCATGAGATGAATGCACCCAACTGGCAATCTGTCTCTTTAGTTTTCTTAAGTATATATGCATCAGTTAGAAAAGCTGCTTGAAAGATTTTTTTTTTTCTTGTCCAGAAGTTCTTACCTTCCTTGGTTTCGGATTTTATTTTTTTCTCCCTGTAAAACCCTTCCCCACCAGTCTTTTTTCCTCAAGTTTTGTATACTTAACTAAAATGCTAGGTATTTTCATGCATCTCACTTGAGATGCAGTATTTTGTTATTTGGCATACAGGATGTTTATTCTAAAAGTGTTTTGAGAAGACATTCAGGACCCAAGTCCTATTCCCAAAAGGGCTTTTAAGATACACTTCCGTTCCTTTAAAATCTTTGTGTTAAAAGAGTCCTTGTGGCCATAGAACACCCTTCTCTGCATCTCCCCAGATGAGTTTCACTTCATTGTAGCATCTTCCGTGAATCCTGTATCATCTAGCTTCCAATTTCCAAAGACTGTTTTAGCTTTGAGCTTAGGTAAGTCAGAGCTAGATTTTTCAAAACATAGGATCATTGCCGTATTGGGAAGATCAGATTTTTACAAGATTTCCCAGCAGAAGGACAAGAACCCTTCTGCCGGGGCTCTGACACATTCAGGATTAACTGGTTCAAGTACTGCAGTGACCACTGTGGACCTCAGCAGTGCAGACTGCTTTGGCACTGTTACCATACTAGTTTATGCTATGTGCCTTATTTCTAGCAGTATTAATACTTGAGTACGTGAGCAGTTTTAGCTCTGAATCTTTGTATCCTTAAATGGAGTTTTACAGTGTTATGCCATGTGGCATTAACAGCTTTTCCAGCTCCAGAAAAGCCAGAATCGCTGCACATAATGAGTCCATAGCCTGTTCTTTTGATGATCAGAAGTCCAGGTCTAGTGAGGAGGCTTCATTAGCTGAATTTGCAACAGATGAGGCAAATAAGTTTCAACCTGTTTTGGAAGGGTACTCATTCAGAGTCCCTGCAGCACTTCCTGCATTTATTGATATATGGGGTTCAGGTATGTACCAAAATTACAAGTTTTAATAAAATTAGATTAATGGACTGCTTCCTGCTGCACTAATTTGTAAGAATTGCCACTAATCCATATCTGCACCAACAAGAAAAACTGGAAAAATCTGGGTGGTTAAAAGAACAGGGATGTCCTGTTACAAAGTTTTCACTTCCGCCTCATCCTACATCATCCTTAGAGCAGCTACAGACTTCCCATCCAGTTACAGTTTATCAATGATCTTCTCTAAACCACATATTTATAAGATTCCTGGTTTGTTTTCTTTGTCTGCAAATTATTAAAACCTGTGGTACATGCTAAAGACTGTTGAGGTTATTGGCTGATTGTGGACATGCATATACATTTCCCTGAAAATAGCCTAGTGGGTTTCAGATTGGGTACACAGCTGTATGGAAAGCTGCGTACACATGAATTATTTGGAGTTTCAAGTGCATACATTCTTTGCATTTTGGATAGTAAGGGTGATACTTGATATTTGGATGGTAACGCTTGTAAACATTATTCCCTGCTGGAAGTAGTGACACTGAATGTTTCTGTAACACTTGTGCTGTATGTGATAGTTAAGTGATGAGGATCCTATTGTCAGCAGCAGAAACAAATGAACAAACAACTTGGGGTAATGTGTGTTTTGAGGTATCTTATACTACACACATTTTGTAATCTGTGTTCTTTTACTATAATAGAGACCTGTAACTACTGAATTTTAAGATCTTAAACAAGAATTGGATAGTGCTGAAATACCTGTTTTCTTTTTTCTTTTTATTTCCCTCCACACAAGACCTTTGCTATGGCAGTTCAAGAAAATTCATTGTGCTTTTACAATCCAGGAGACTCCAGTCCTGGATGTGCAAAGACACAAGAGCACCACAGAATATTTTAGGATAAGACATGAATCCCACATTAAGTTTTTCTTAGGCATTACTGTTTTCTAGCATTTAATGCTGTTCCTTAAGCATTTTTTAGTCCTTTCTTAAGTCTTTTGAGAGAAATATAGCTATTGAGATTGGTTGTTTACACAGTCTTGTTAAGAAATGCACAGCCTTTTAAAAGAAAAGTTGGTTTCTGTTCCTTTTGTGAACTCCTGTTAGTTATGGAAATCCTAGTGATTTATTCTACAGTGTTTCAATTCTATTCAATACATTCTTTTACCAGAATGCTGCAAGAAGATCCTGTTTTGTTTCAGCTCTATAAAGACCTTGTTGTGAGCCAAGTAATCAGTGCTGAAGAATTCTGGGCGAACCGTTTAAGCCTGAATGCAGGGGATAATTCTGCAGCACCTAGTAAGCAGGAAGTGGGCATCTCTGCAGCATTTCTGGTACGTTGAACCTCTAACTTTAAGGATTTTAGAGGAAGCAAATTGGGGAAAATGAGAGTTCTGCTCATGTACTTTATTCCCATATACTCTAATATTATTCTTTCCTGGTTCCTCAACTTAACATCTGTCCATGTTAAGTTGAGAGAGTTAGACTATTGCAAGTGTAAAGGAGAAAAAAAAAGTAAAGATTTTATGCAAATCTGCAGCCTCAATTTTGTCAATTTAAGATGGTCAATTAAAACTTTAAATTGACAGTAGGCAGATGTTGTTTGTACTGATGCTCTGCCTTCCGTAAAAGAGGAATAATGGTGAGTTTACTAACTCGATAAGTTAAAAAGCGTATCTGTTGCGGCATTCATAAATGAAGCTGCAGAGACTTCCCACACAAAACGTTTTATTCCCTTCCCATTTTTTTTTTTAAACCAGTACATGCTTTCAGCTACTTGAAGAACAACTTGTATATCTGAAATCTTGTTTTATCTCTCTTTCCCCACCTTTCAGTTAGTTTTATTACCCCGTTGTAGAAACCGTGCTTCACTAATCTCAGTGTAGTCTATGAAAGTAATCTAGGTACAATCTTCAGACTCCTCCCACAGGGACATGTTTCTTCTTTGGCAACAAAAGTGGTACAGATTATGACTCTTTAGCTGGAATCCCATTGCCACCTTTGTAATGACTGAGCACACCTCAACGGCTTGGGAGGGAAGGAAGAGGTGGGAGTTGTTTTATGGCTTAGCTGCTGTACAGACACTTGTTTTTTCCCTACTTAGAAATACCTGAATCAGTTACCAAATGAATTTGATTGTTCTGACTTCCTGTCTCCTGTTATTCTTACACCTTAACATTAAAAAAAAAAATCCAAACCCAAAAACAAACCTCCAAAACTGAAGCTTTCTTAAAATAACATTTGTGAAGAAGTAAAGTAGAAAACTTCAGATATTTGTGTGTCCTATTTCAAGTTAAAATAACTATCTGTCTCTGCTCAGAATGACTATTTCTCTAGGAAGAAGGTGGTGCAAAAACTAGAATTTAGGTTTACAGGAAAAGGAAGGAGAGAAGGCAGCATATGTGATCCTGTAGATTTTCCTGTTATAGAGGTTTGGACTGAGTGCTTGCTTGCTCAGAGCTTCCTAAAGTGATCATTGAGGTCTAACTTGCAAGTTCTGACTAAGGCCTCTCAATTTTTAAATTCAATATTCTTTATCAATTATACTGAGATGCTTTCAGTGTGTAAGGAAATAAGGTCCATAAATCCTTTTTTGTCACTTCATTATCGTCACTGATTATTCACTAGCTGAATAGTTGAATAAACAGCAAAAGATTAGGCATATACAGTAAATATGCCTATTTTTACTTTGAAACAAGGATACATGAAACTAAACATCTTCTTTTGACTAATGGTCTTTGCTTTTGATCTTCTAAAGCTTACAGTCTACTTGTTGAATCATCCATTAAGTGGCAAGTATAATAGAGTAATTAATGCATGCTCATTCATTTCTTATTCTAAAAATACCTATTTATCACCAAATTTGCTATGGATCAGTGGAGGAAGAAGATTATTTTATCTGCAGCAGAATTTGATTGCAAGATGCCAGGTTTTTTCCCTTCTCCAGTTACAGAAGGCATTCAGACATGACTGGTTTTCTTCCCTCTGTGCTTTTTCTTAGGCTGATGTACGGCCTCAAACAGATGGCTGCAATGGCCTGAGGTATAATTTGACTTCAGATATCATTGAATCCATATTTCGAACGTATCCTGCAGGTAAGAATATTGCTTTACATAACAAATACGTGCGTTTAAGATTTGTTTTTTACTGTCTTTCAGTAGGAAGACAGGAATGTTAATCTGAGGCTGGAAGTATAAAGGACCATATCTTCAGTCATCTGGATTATTTTCCCAAACCTTGTTTGAGGGATGGAAAGAAGCATGTGTTAAAACATGCTTTTGGAATGAAAGCTTGATTTTGTTAAATGAAAACATCTTATCTTAATACGTTGACCTTTTTTTTAATTGTGTATAGATATTTGGTTCCCATGATATTCTCCTACTCAGCATTTCAATTGTTATTTTTCATTAAATCATCTTTGAGGGGCAAAGAATCTGATTGCCTTCATTCCCCTGCACTATATTGAATACTGACACTGATCCATTTTGGCCTCAGGTTAAAAAGCCTGGATTCATCCTGAGAATAACTAGAACTCTGGCAAACCAGACTTCCTCTGTGTGTGTGCAATTCAAACTGCAGTATTCAGACCACTGTTACGTGCATTTCTTTTTGAAGCATTAGCTAGCATTGCAAGCATAAAGGAGTACCTGTTTGCTTGTGCTTAACTACTGCTTTCCCTTGCATTTACTTGGCATGAATGAAGGCAGCATTAGACAGAAAGCAAGGAAGCAAGCAAGGAAATTTTAGCATAAAGTGCCATATTAAGATTTGCAGAACAGTTTGTAATCATTATGGGTTTTGTTCACAGTAAAAATGAAATATGCAGAAAATGTTCCACATAACATGACCGAGAGGGAATTCTGGACACGATTTTTTCAGTCTCATTATTTCCATCGGGACAGGCTGAATACAGGCTCAAAAGACCTCTTTGCAGAATGTGCCAAACTGGATGAAAAAAGTAAGCTTTTTTGATTTTGTTTCTGCAGTAGGCTGCCACAGTCTTAGCTGTATCACAGAGCACAACACTTGAGGTATATCTAGTAAACCTAGCAAAGCTGAAGTCAAAAGTTTTCTGAAGTCCGTTTACTGGGCATCTTGTTTGTCAAGTTGTAAGTGAAAGCTACAAAAAGTCACTAAAAGTTAGCTATAGCTTTGCTATTAGCATGCTTGATAGTGTGTGCATTTCTTGAAACAAATTAGCCTTTGGAAAGTAGGAGCACTAGAAAAAGTCTTTATCACAGCTCATGCAGCAGTAAATCTGTGGTAAATTCCCTGGTAGGCTGTCATGCGAGATTGATTATGCTCTGCCATCAGTTGCATAAGCCTTTGTTTAGTGGTATGTGCACAATTCACAACAGGTACAGTTTTTGTAATAGATCAGTTTTTAGTAATAGACAAACGTGGACCCTGTTTAAGATTTTCCAGAGGAGTTGCCATCCCTGTTCTCTGTCAGTCTGTTTGATATGAAATCTTAAATTGTCTGACCTAAGTTTTTATCAGACTCCCAAGGTAGGTTTGTGGTGATGGGGAAATGCAGAGAGATGAGATCATGTAACACTATCCCTTTAATACATATTCTGACTAATGAGAGTATTCTGTTAGGAATCCATAACCCTTCACAAGCAAAAGCTATCACCAGATATAAATTACCATTCTGTCCAAGACAGGGCAGCAGAACAGTGCCAAAATTAGAAGGAGCACAAAACTAAGGCATCTCAGTTTCCACTAATACAACTAATGTAACTGTATAACTGAGTTTTGGTTTGGTTTGGTTTTTTCCCCACCAGACAGTATTTGGTGACACTTAAAAGTTGATGAAAACTGTTCTAATTAGTAGGATGATCTTTTATAATAACTTTCCAAGTTCATTGCTTATTTTAAATGGAGCTTGGATAAGGATTGAAAATTTTAGTCGCAGTGATACTTTGGCATCTGCAGAATCTTTGTCTTCTCCTTTTAAAGGTTAAATATAATATAATAATGCCACAATTATTCCTATTTGTTTAGATACGGTTTCTCATGCTTTTTTCTTTGTTTCATACAGGCTTAAAAACAATGGTGTCTCAAGGAGTAAAAAACCCTCTGATAGATTTAACAGCTTTGGAAGATAAAACATCAGATGAAGTAAGTAGTGGGCAAAGAAAAGCCACCCCCCCTTAGTTTCATGTAAGGAGGAAGTGAGTTCTTCTGTTAAAATAACTACAAGTGCTAATTCTCAATCACATCACTTAATAAGCTGCTGCAGTGGTTGGGTAATCACCATGTGTACAGTTGTATGTGTGTAGAGAAATGGAGACACTGCTGATGAACCTGTGTGCCTCAGATGTCTGCCTTAGTGTCCTGGATATGAAAGCAGGACTTCCCTTTTTTATAGAACTATTATTTCACTTGGATGGCTTTTTTGTCTAAAGCAGACTCTGCTTTTTTCCTACCTTTTAGAAGCTGTGACAATGCACAGAAGAGTAGCAAAAAGTCTTCGCATTTGTTCTCACTTTGAACATTGATATTTGTTTGATTCAGCTTAATTTTAAGGACAGTTTATTCAGTTTTCTTTGTTTAGCTTTAAATACTGTGTTTTGCTAAAAATACAAGAAAATTGAACTATTACGTGCCTCCGAGCTCAAATTAAAAGAATTGTTATAAATGGTGTTCCATGATGTGAAGTAACTTAAAGATGCACTTTTCTGCGGTTGACTCAACTTCAACTTTTGAGTTGCCATTAATAATGGTGCTGCATTTCTAGGTTTTTTGTGAGGTTTTCTGGGTTTTTTTGTAAGAGCTGTACAAAGCTAACAGGTTGAAATTGGACTAGGAGTTTAGGATAGGTATGTTTGAAGTGTTGTGCAAATGACCCTTGTTTGCTTTCAAGACTGGTTAATTGCAAGCATGAAACTGAGCATGGGGTCTAGTGAGTTACCTTCAGCCACCTGGTGACTGGAGAATGCTGCCAACATTAAGGCTTGAGGTTTTTTGAATTCCTAGTGCTATCACATCCTCCTGACAGCTGTCATTTAGCCTGTGGGCTGCTGGTGTCCCACAAGATAAAAAGAGGCCAGTAAAACAATTCCTAGCTCCTCTTTGCCATTAGTGCCCGTCTGTTTTATACATGTGATCCTTACTTTTTTTTTAAGCTAGTTCTGGTTTTACTTATAACAATCTGTTTAAGTTTTTTTTCTTCTCTCAGACACCTCTGAACTGCCACATGTTAGCAGAATAAAATATTCTGTGGACGTTTTTTAAAAGTATGTAAGGTGAAGGTGGGGGGAAGGTAGGAAAATACCGCTTCAGATGATGATACGGTATCAGTCGGTGAAGTCAGAGGAGGTAGCATGCAGGCTTTGTGACTGAATGGGAAACAGAGAATTGTCCTTCTGGTTTTGGGGCAGGAGGTAGCTAACGTTGTTTTCCTTGTAGGGCTATGATGTTGCTTCTGTGGCCTCTACATCAAACGCCTCAAAATCTGCTAGAGAAAGTAGCAATGCTGCCATTATAAAACGCTTTAATCATCATAGTGCCATGGTCCTTGCAGCTGGCCTCAGGAAACAGTAAGTTTCAATGTTGGGTAAGAGCTTTTTCATAACAAATCTTAAGGAATTTTGAGAACAAAAATACATCTTCAATTACTCAACCAACCTTTTCTTTTAATTTTTATGAATGAAGTGTTTTGCTCTAGAAATGAAAAATTTTAGGTTCCGTTTTACTGTGTAGAAGTTCTTCAGAGCTGTCTGAGATGACAAATGCTATTTTAGCTGACTTGTTATTATACAGAACAGATTTTTAAAGGAAAGGATGTTTCTGCCTTAGCTCTCTAGCCCTGGTGAAGGCTGCAGAAGTAGTACTGTGCTTGCTGTGTGGAGAAGAGCTCTGGCACTGGGAGTTCCTATTGTCTGCCTTCCAGCAGCAGGTCTGCTGGGGCTTCCTCTAGTGCTGTGCATGCATACAAGTAAACGAGGATGCAGAAGAACAGTGTGGCATGGGTGGATCAGATGAAAGATTCCTCCAGTGCAGTACCCTGCCCCTGACCAGAAAAATACATCAGCTAGTTACGTATATTTACAGTAATCTTTATAAATGAAATCTCTTGCAAGAGGCATGAAATGGGTTTGATATGAAGTCTGCTTTACAACTGGTTTATAAACAACCACCAAAGGATTACTGCTCTACCCAAATCCCACAGACTTTACCTGTGAGAGGTCTTAATGAAACACTTCCTTCTGTGTAGCTGTGCTCCCTTATGTTCTCTTGTCTCGCACACATTGAACCTTCAACAGTTCAGAACGAGACAAAACAATATCTCTCATTCTGAAACAGTACCTCAGGACTCCCATAACTCTGCTAATACCTGGTTGGCATAAGTGTGTATGCAAAGCATTTCTAATTTAGGCATTATTTTAGTGTGTCCCACTTGCATAGCAGGCATGCTACTATTTCTGAAGAGAGGGAGAAGCACTCTCCCCTGCTCTTGATTTTCCCCCCTTGACAAACAGGGTTATTTGAGGATTTAGTTCCTTCTATTTAGATCAACTTCTAGAAATTAAGGAGAAAAAAGGTGGTATACGGTATGTGAACATGCATATAAAATTTTGAAAGAGATGTATTTACTTTGTCTCTAGCTTGTATCTTAAGTTTCCTGTGAGGTGAATTCTTCTTAATGCTGTTTCTCTATTTTAAGAGAAGCACAAAATGACCATTACAGTGAGACCAGCAGTACGGATGGAAACTCCAGAGATTCAGATTTCTTTCAACCACCAGTGAAAAAGGTATAAAGTTAGCTGATGCAACTCTAATTGAATGGAACTGGAAGCTGTGTCTCTCAAAAGGCTGTTTAAGGTTCATTACTTGTTTTATGACATCTAAAGTGATACTTATTTATCTTAAGTGATACTTGTTTAGAATAAGAGCCTGAGGGCCTGTAAGGAGCTTTGTACCTCAGTAAACACAAACAAATTGCACCCTGAAGTATTGTACTGTTTATCTCTTCAGTAGTGCCCAAAGAAAGTGAAAATTTTCTGGCATGCTTCTGATTGGACCCAGAAACCTGGTTCTTTCCATTCAGTGCAGTTCTGGTTTTACTCTGCCCAGCCCCTCTTCGCCCTATCTCTTTTTTTTTTTTTGTAAGTGCCTAAAACACATAGAAAACATCCATCTGAAAGGGATACTGCTGTTCAAGCACCAATATTGATATACCAAGTGTATTGTTTATAAAGGGAATGATTAAACTGGCATCTGGCAGCCTTCATGTTATGGCCAGAAGCTGAAGTGGGGTTAAACTGAAAGCATAGTGACATCTGGTGCACCGAAATACAGGGCAACACTCTGTTTTAGACTAACCATAGCAGCTCACAAAGTAAGATAGTACTGTAATTGCTACAAAACTGAATTGAATACTCTTGCTAGAGTTGACAGCCTAAATAGAAAATGCCATGGGGACTCAAAACCTGCATATATTGTGAGAAAAGGTTGTAGAATACATGTGGTGGTAAATGTTGAGGTAGTCAACAGATTTTACTTTACTGAAAGCTGCGTTTTTTTACTGGGGAGTAAATGTTATACCAGATCTAGAATAAGCTTGATTAAAAGAGGAGTGAAAGAGTAGCATGAGAGTAGGAGACTTCTAAAGTAGTTTTCTCACTTAAAAATCCAGTATCACTGCGCTGTTATCTCTCACCACTAATGCTCTAGCTCTACTGTCACCAGATCACTTGTGTAACTATCATATAGTCTTACATTCTTGTACGCCAGCCATTAAATCATTACTATTTCTGCTAATCTGGAGATAGATGGACAAAAATAGAGAGCCCAAAGAATGGTCTGTGTATAGCAGAATGCTTTTTGGAAGTAGCAGGGACTGCAAGTTTTGGCCAGAATTTGCAGAAAAAGTGGTACTGCCAGGACTTCCAAATCTCACACTTTAAACAGTATTGGGCACTGCTCCATCTGGAGTGTAGATGTGAACCATTCCATGTTTTCATTCTCTTTAATGTTTTAGTAACCCTTCTGTTCAGACTCAGTGAATGGCACAAAAGCACTAGATGCACGGAATTGTGTCTACGTTGGTAATATGTATAATTATTTGGCTTGTTTTAGGTGAAACTGCAGGAGTCCATTGAATATGAAGATTTAAGAAAGAATAATAGCATTAAAACTATTGCACTAAACTTAAAGAACTCTGAGAGGTAAGTTAACAAAATATGCACAGCTATTTCAGTGTATTTGATCTAGCAGGTCTCATCACAGGCTGCACAGAATCAGATGATTTAGTCTCTGCTGTGCCACACTGAAGTGTGTTTAGACTAAGTTTAGAAATCTCATCTTGAACTCCTCCATAAACCAGCTTCCAAGTAATTCCCATTTAAATTTGAGTTTTGATTTAATTTTGCTTTTCAGCAAGTCTCTGTAAGCCTACTTGAAGAGCTTTGACATGCAATTTCTATAAAAGTCTAATGGATCTGTATGCAGAGTTCAGCACTTCGTTGCAGCTTACAATGGAAAAATTTGTATGTTACATGTGAAAATACATGTGATTCCAAGGAAGATCCACTCCCAGGCAGAAGAGTGCAGTCAGGGTAGTTTGGACTGCTCACTTGTCTAGTATTTTTCTAATAATAGTCCTCTTGTTTTCTAGGCTTTTGAGTTTGAGAAGCATAGATACAACTTCAGAAAAGGAGTGATACCACAGGACAGAGGAGAGTTCCAAATATGCCCCTAACTTTGTTTAACTTAGTTTCAATCAAAAGTGGTGTGAAATCCTCCATTCTAATGATATTCCCAGAACTATGTGGCCCAGATAGCTCACAGATACAACAGTAGAAGCTCTTATCCTATTTTGCTGCCGTAGCATCCCTAACCCATCCTCTTCCCATGTGGCAATGTGGTTTACTTTGTCAATAAATAAGGTTTAGATAGCAGCATCAGCAGCTGCAGAGCATCTAAAATTGGAAACATTTGAACAATGAGTTTGGCCTGTTTTATTACTATCCTCCTATTAATATCCTTTTGTCTTTCCTTTTCTCACCTCATAGGTATTATCACGGTCCAACTCCAATTCAATCACAGCAATATGCAACCAGTCAGGATATAATTAATTCTTTTCATAGTATTAGACAAGAAATGGAAGCATATGTACCCAGACTAACTCAGGTATGGAAAAATACCCCAAAAAATTCCCTTCTTGATATTAGCATCTTGCTTTCTACATAATTTTGTGTCTCATGTCTACTGGAATTTTAATTTTTCAGGGTAAGCTTAATGATCTCCAATAGTCTTGTTATTCAGTTTATTTTACAGCTTTAGGTGATACCTTTTGAACTATTGTGGTTTAAATCTAAACAACAGGAAACTGAGTCATTACTGATAACTCAGAGTTACCACATTCTTTTGAGGAAATGGTAAAAGTATAAAGTAGTACAGCAGGACAGTCACGTAACATGAAACACAGGCCAATATTATTGATCCCATTCCCTGAAGTTTAGGGTGTGTAATGGTCTTAGGAGGTCATAGTAAGCAGGTTTATAACTGAACAGGTCTTTCACTCGCAAGTGCACTTACAGAGGATATGGATCTCGCTGTGGGCTGCACAGAAGCTCTGTCTTGGCAACTGGAGGGCAGCATAACCATGTACTCAATCTACCCAGCCAGTATCTGAACTTCCTCTCTTAGTAAACCTAGATTTGACCCTAAGCAAAGTGTGAATTCAACTGTGAATGTGTCACACTTCTATATAGGAATTCTCAGTCTCATTTCAAAGTAGTTGCACAGCCAGTTCATGTGCCAGGTAAAAAAAATACTGGTTTGTCCATAATTAATCAGAGAGCTTTCACTGAAAACAGGAGCACTTAAAGGCACTCTGTCTAATTCTGGAGAAAAGAAGACTCTCCATCAGAACTTCCACTCTATCTTCTCAGTTGTATCCTTGCCATTGGAGTTCAAATGCATCTTATTTTAAAAAAATTTTCTTGGAAAAAGTGATCTGAAATATTTGTTCCCTCTCTCCTTTCAGGTTCTTTCAAGTAGTGATGCTGCTAACGCTATTGCAGCCTTGTCACCTGGAGGAGCACTTATGCAGGGTGGAACACAGCAAGCCATAAACCGTACGTATTTAGGATGTATAATATTTTAATCATATCTTACTGCATTATACAGCAGTACCTGGCTGGCTCTTTCATCTCTCTCTTAGAATATGTTGCAGTGCTAAAATGAAATTATGGAAACATGTAGCTGGAGTAATACTGGGTTACAGCAACAAAAGAAAAGCAACAACCCAGCCACACCACGAGGGTGGTACTGGCTACATCAGTGCAGAGGCAAGTGAATGCAAGAAAATTTTACACAGCAAGTGATCAAGGATACTACTTGATACTAAGCCCTCTTATGGGATAATGGGTTTTGCTTGTTCAGCATTCCTCTGCTCTGTTTGGGGTTTTTGGTTTGTTTTCCTGGATTTTAGAAAACGAAGGCATACTCTGGGAAAGCTTCAAGAAGGTGAAGTCTAGATAATTGTGTGGAACTAGGTTTCATACAGCCTGCATTTAAGATCCACAGCTTGCTGTGAAAAAGGACAACTTTCTTAAAGACTGCAAGAGCAGAACAGACCCCTCCTTCTGACATCTCCATCCAACCACCCCTTTCCCTGTTGTCACATTCCTGCCAGTTTGAGTTCCTTTCTCTTTAGTCTCACAAGGTAGGGTTTATAACAGTTTTCCAGTTTAACTTGTGTTACTTGGTCTGAAGAGCAACTAATTCAGACTGCTGAAAAGGCAAGTATGAGTTCTTTATGGTACTGAAAGAAAAGGGAGTCAGCAAGTAGTAGTGAGGCTTTCTTACCCATCATTGACGTACTGAGTGCTGCATTCCACTTCTTTGAGCCTCACCACTGCGCTTTTTTCTTCTTTTTTTAAACAACCTCATCCTAGAGTTTGCTACTCACTGTTCAGTACACTGTGGTCCTGTCATCCTCGGTGACTGCTTGTGCTTTTTGTCCTTGGTTTTTATGATTGTGGCTCCTTTGCTGTCTTTGAACCGTGTTGGCCTTTTTTTTTTTTTAAGAGTGTCTGGGATACAGTTCCTTGTTCCTGCCTGGTTTTTCAGCTTCCACGTGCTTACACATTGCCAGTGTAAGAGAAAAGGAAAAGCTTGCAGTTTCCACCACACAGTATTTAGCACTGTGCTGTGAAGAGAACAAGGTGCTGGTCCCAGAAGCAGTACTGCCACGCTGTTAGAACAGTACAGATATACAGCTTCTAATCCTGGGTTAAATTTAGCATCCGTTCTTTGCCTGGCATAGATCTCCCTATGTAAGTATGTAGTCATAAATAGCAGCTGCCCTGATCCAGTACTGCTGATAGCTCTAGTTCAGGTGTGAGGCACCTCAGTGTTCACTGCCAGCCAACCTTTCTGTGATTCTAGTAGAAATATGTATTGCTGAACTCCTTCATTGGCCTTACATTCTCATTTTTCATATGATAGTTTTGAGTCATGTGACAAAATCTTCTTCCTGTTGCAGAGATGGTGCCAAATGAGATTCAGTCTGAACTAAAACACTTGTATGTGGCGGCAGGGGAACTGCTACGACACTTCTGGTCCTGCTTTCCTGTGAATACGCCATTCCTAGAAGAAAAGGTAAGGCAGAGAGCTCTCTAGCGTGGCCCTGGTTATGCTGTGGCCAGATCATGGTTTAGAATGACTCTCATTAACTTGCAGTATCGATCTGATACACATGCTTTAAATCAGTGCAGCACGTACTCATCCCTAGAACTGAAGGTCAAAAAACAATGTAAAACATTACTTTTTTTTCAGCAGTTCTGCTGGTGCTATTGGTTAAAGTCATCCTTGTCCCTGCATGTCTGTTGGCCCTCTTCAGGAACAGTTGCTGTAAGGTACTTTCAAACAGAATGGTCAGCTATATCCCAGCTGCAGATTTCTCACTGCCAGTTTAAAACACACAGACTAACACCCCCATTCCTCAACTGTGATAGTTACAAAAAAGCTTTTCTTATTCCTCTGTCCATTGCAAAAAACACACACACAGAGCTTCAAAACATACACTGCTTTTTAGAACAAAGTTGCCTTCAAGGACAGATGTCTGTCTATGACCAGGTATATGATTGTAACTATTTCTCTCTTGCATTTCTTTCTTTTGACCTGTCATAGATCACAAAAATACTAAAAAATTGCATTCAGATATGTTGGGTTTTCTGCTGCAAAACATGGCCTGAAAATCCATGGTACAGTCTTTGCTTGAAGCAAAAAAAAAAAAATGTTTTTGTGAATATCTTCTCTATAGTCTGTACTGATAAAGTGGTAATGATCAAAGTGGCACACTGCACTTGCCTCAAAAATACACATTCAGAATTGTTACAAAATTAGTTACAAGGTGTTTTGTTAGAGAACAATTTGTTAAATGAAATGAAACTTACGTGCAAGTGATTACAATCTTGGTTTCTGTCTCCCTCAGGTTGTCAAAATGAGGAGCAACTTGGAAAGATTTCAAGTTGCAAAGCTCTGCCCATTCCAAGAAAAGATTCGGAGACAGTATTTAAGCACAAATGTAAGGGCAAAGTACTCTAACTTTAATTACATGAGTGCATATTAATAACTTGAATAGTAATCATCAGAGGATGGTAGCTTTTTGCTAACTGCAAAATGCGCAGAGGGAAATTGGGTACACAGTGACGCATGTCTTCTCTCCCTGTGTAACTTGGTGGGTAAAACCAGGAACTGTCAAGAACTGTAGTTTGAAGTTATCCACGTGAGTCAACAAAAAGGGGAAGTCATGTTTCATTTTTTCACTTCCACCACAAAGTAGAACTGTAGCACCTTCATGAAAGTGGTCACAGACTAAATACTGGGACAGACGGCACAATCAAGGATCACTTCCCTGGGACTTCCTCAGCTTAGCAGCTCTCTGAACTGCTCCCTCTACAGCTACTTTGCAGTAGAGTTCAGGGTCCCTTCTCTCTTTATCTGTACACCTCTTTGATTTCAGTGAGATTACTCTTAGTGAATAGCAGGAAGCATCCAGCTGAGTATCTGATCAGAGGGAGGGGATCTGTTTTCCAGTAACTGGGACATATTTTTTTTCCTCTTCATGTTTCAGTTGACAAGTCACATAGAAGAGATGCTGCAGACGGCCTACAATAAGTTCCATACGTGGCAGTCCCGGCGTATGCTGAAGAAGACGTGAAGATGCATGCTGTACAGGTCTGAGAGCTAATCTGCAATAGGTGTAGGAGTACAACCTAGCATATGTGCAGATCTTAGAGTTGTTGCAGGAAGCCCTGTGAGCTGTGGACTTCTGGAAACAATGCTAACTGAACTTGCACATTTTTGAAAAAGAACTGAGATTAAACTTGAAAACTAGGGAGGAAAACAAGGAAGAACCAAATCAGAAAAGCTGAGGTGCAAAAATACTTAAAAGACACTGTTTACTGCAGTTACTCAGGAACTGCTTTTGATTCGCATAAAGAGCTGCTTTCAGAAAAAAAAATAGAGGGTGTATTAATAAAATCTGTTTTTCTGTCTAATTTTTTTTAAGTGTATGGCACAGGGTAGGACTCAAAAGTTTTTCTTCACTGGATTCTGACACTTTCCTGAATTCTGTTTGTACTTCCTGCAAGCGTTTAACGATGCTATTTTAAAATACAACCAAGACTGGTTTTGCCTCAAACACCTTGGAGCGTGTAGCTGTCGGAAGACAAGCTTCTGCCATACGTTTCCCCACCAATTGGATGCAAGAGACATTGAAGTAAAAGCTGTTTATGGTCTGGGGTCCCTGAAGACAGATGGGGCAAACTTTTGCCTGAAGTCAAGGATTTTTATGCAGAATTTTTTCAACCATCAGTTTTGCATGTGTTCCTTTGAGTGCAAGTGTGTGCTACTGCAACTTTTTTTTTTACAGTGGCATTTGTTCTGAGGAGAGAATGCATTTTTAAAAATGAAGTTAAATAAAGTTTCTTACAAAACAAGTCATTTATTTTCAATTCTTAGACTTTTTTTTTGTTTCTTCTAAATCTGTTTACCTTCACTCTTCCCTTTTGACTCTTACACTATTTTTGGCGAACTGATAATCATTGCAAGGAGAAAAATGTGTTACCTACACAATGTCCATAGCTATTGGGAATCTGTGCCATACTTTGTTCCAAATAGAATCAGTTCACAGTTTCAGACCAACTTGTCATGTATTAAATGTGACTTAAATGCAGAGTCAACCTGTTTTCTATAACATATGCGGTTTAATGACATCCTTGTATTTTGTTGTCACTTGACTGTACTAAAGCCCAGTATGGGCTACTGAACTTTTTTTTACTTCTGACTAAACATGACTGTTAGAGAATGAGATGCATTTACTACAAGGACAAAGCAAAGTGACATAGGTATTCACAGCAAGCACAGCAGTGTTCAGTACGGCAGAAGAAATTCTCATTGGCCTGCATGATGGCTCAATAGGAGATTTTGCCACCCTTGGTATGATGCTAAAACTCGACAGTATGACGTTGGGTGGATAATTCTTGCGAATTCCTACAGAAGAAAAGATGTATTTGTACAGCCAGGTCTGTGCTTGTTCTGTGCTGCTGCTCCATTTATGCAAGACGTTTTTTTTTTTCTTTAACTGATGCGTGGAAGTCAGCAGCTTTTTTTTACCCAGTGTTTTTGGATTTTTGTATTATGTTAATATTTTGGTAAAAGCCAAGTTGCAGTTAAATGTCACTGTTTGCACCAAAATTCTGCCTGGAAATGTATGCATATTGTTAAGCCTGGTTTCCCTGTCTGCTTTTGCAGATAGATGCATGATACCTGCTCTGTGATGTTCATGTGGTTCTGCTACAAGAAATGGCTGGGCTCAACAAGAGAGACACCCATCATTTTTGGCAGGGGGAAAACGTCACTAGGAATAAACAGATATACGTACAGCATTTGGGGGATGAGGTGCACATCTTGTCAAGAGTCACCTCTTGTGATACACAAACGGTTTCTCTAAAATTTAGGCTCAGAGTATGGCTTTATGAAGCCTAATCCTCTTGCGAGTGCAGGCAGCTCCCAGAAAGAAAGGGTACTGTTGTTCTCCCTGACTCCAGAGCATTTGATCTAGCAAGTCTGTGGCCAAATTTCAACAGCTTAGTGAAAGCTAAAACACCTTTCATCATATCAGAGGGCTCTAGATTCAAGAAAATGTCTGATTTATAACTGTGCCTGAAACTATAAACAACACATTTTATTATTGGACTGCACTGAGACTTCATTTCAAAAAAAATCACAGGTGAGTTTTGAATGTGGAACTAATTCACCTTTGATTTTAATCAGTATTTAGTGTTCCTGGAAAGATGGCAAAACGGTCAGCACAGTGGAGAGGTTTCAGTGCATCCCAAGAACATTTTACAGTTCAAAGGACTGTTGTTTATAATCATTATGGGGGATGGTGTTGCAATAGCTTTAAGTTATTATAGCGGTATCGGGCTATCAAAATGTACCTTAATTAACAGAAGTGGGTGGGGGGAAGAGGACTATGATGCTAAATTCAACAGTTTTGCCTAGAGACTGTTCAGGCAAGGCTGCTATGCACTTCATACTGCTTTTTCAGGTATTGTGGCAATAAGGCACGGGCCCCTCCTAAAGTAAGGGAGGTAAACTAAATATTCTTTCTTCTACATTGTGGTCCCCTTTTCTGTAGCATGGTCCAAAGCCCAGACTCATTCCTTAAGTTTTGAAACTGAATCATCATCCATTATATTACTATTGGAATCTTTATACTGACTTGTATTTTTAATGAGAGTTCATAAAACTTGTATCATTGGCATTGATCTAAGATTTGTAGAATAAACCCTACTGAATTCTAAAGTCAAGTCTTCTCTAATGCTTAGGCTGTGTTTTCTGATGTTCAATTAAATCCCAAACAGGCTCCATTCAGGTTGAAAGTGAGAGCGCCGTGTATAGCGCTAGCTCTTCACGCTGGTAGAAGAGGTGAGGAACAAAAGGGTTACAATACAGTTACTGGCAAATTATTACTTTTTAAGGGTTGAGAACATTTTGTGCCAGACAGGAAATCTACACCGTTACAAGTGCTACTGTCCCTGTGTTCCTGATAATCCAAAAGCCAGTTTTAGTCTCCAGGGATTTGTATTCTGCTTGTTCTGGATACTGATCCAGCAGCTGGTGGTTCTGGAGAGCTGCACAGACTGCTGTGTCAGCAATTCCAATTACTTTGCTGGCAGTGGAGAAAGGATAACTTAAAGCAGGCATTAACACAGGTCAGGCTCAACTTATCTGTAGGCTGTGAGTTTCAACAGATGAAAATACTAAGAGGCATCACAAAAAAAGGCTGGGCTGTTTCTCTGTCAGCAACAGCTCTACCCTGGTCAAGGACAGGACACAACATCTTTCCACTGGAGCCATTCCTACAAGTAGTTTCTTGCACACCCACAGAGTTGCTCTCTAGACTCTGATCTTCAGCTTCCTCATGCGACAAAGCACTGGCCAAGGCCCTGTGCTTTCCCAGATGGGCGACTTAGCCCAGCACCCCTTTGTTTTAAGGTGCTTTGTTACAGCTACAACTATTTTTCTTTATTTATACTGTAACTACATCATTACAACTTCTATTGTGACATACTGTTATTAGCTAGAAAGCTCACCTTCCCCTTGCCAAAACTAGTATTGGACAGCTGCTTTATCCAGAAAGTCACTCATGTGGTGACTACAAGGAGGCTTAGAATCCAGTTTTCCATCCTGTTTCCCTTTCTGAAGGGAAGGGCCTACCCAAGCATCCCTGCTCTCTGCAGGCAGTGTAGTAAGTAGCTTTGGAGCCTTTGTATCGCAGCACAGTTTCAGTGTGTGAGCCACCATGCTCTGAACCTGTTCCCAAGCTCTCCCTTGCCTTGCAGCAGGAGCTGCAGCTCGATCCAAAAGGAACACAGCAGCTGCAGTTTGAATAGTGATCAGACATCACCGGTGACCTAACACTGATCCTCCATAAACCCTGATAACTAATGGCAGATGTGCTCCTGCAGTAGAGTTTAAAGCCTGGGGAACTGTTAAATTAGCTAACCCAGTCTCCCAGATCTTTTTTCAAGACACTGCATTTCCCTTCAGCTACCTCTCAACACATCGTCTCCCCAAAAGAGACCCAAGTCCTTGTCTGTAACACTGAGCAAGAGAATTCACCACTCTCCGTGATAACATCCTAGGTAGAGGATCACATAGCAGGGCTCTTTTGGGCTGTCTGCCATGGAAGACAGGACCCAAAGGGGCGAGATGCAGCCGGAAAAGTTGACGAGACTGAGGAGCAGTTTGGCTGGAGCATGCAGTGCTCGCCAGAGGGCACGGACCAGAGCCCAAACGCCTCTGTGGGCAGCCCCAGCTTGCTCAGAGAAGGTCAGTACTTCGCATCCCTGCTTCCCACCAGCCGTGCAGTGCCAGTTCACTCTTATTAGGGTCACAGCCAGGTGGCAGAGTGCCACAACAATGCAGTGAAAGATGCCTTGAGCCCGGCATTTTCCCAGCCCACCTCAGCCCACAAAATTAACGTCCCCATCCCCCCACCAAAACCCTAACAGCCCTCTGGTCTTCCTCCTCCTGCAAAAGCCCACACACACCTTCTTCCTGATAAAGCCAAACTACTCCAACAGTTCAGGTGTCAGCACATCCCCAAGGAAAGTAATGTCCTAGAGTTACACAGACCCTGTCCTCCCTGCCTGCTAAGATCCCCTTTCACAAGGTTGCTTTGTTATCTCACCCGCAGCTCTCACAAGTCACATCTGTAGCTTTGAAAGGCAGTGTCGTGTCGTCGTTCCCCCCCCCCCCCCCACTGGGCACAGTTTTGGAGCATAGGCATCCACACAGCCCCACTCCATCCTCCAGCCCAAGTTCATTACTGGACAAACCATCACTTTATTACAATTACTGCACCCAGCAGAAGCATCGTCCACTGCCGACATCCTCCACTTCCAAGCACTGCCCTCCTTGAGTCAGCTCCTGCCTCTGTGCTCACCCACACGACTGGCCATCACCTC